ACGGCCCACTCAGACTCCATGTGCCCCACCTCAGCTGGGATGTGGTTAAAGCTCTCCCTGAGGTGTGAGTTGAAGATCTCTCTGACGGGTTCTTCTGTCAGGCGTTCTCAGCAAACCCTCACTACACGTTTGGGTCTACCGGGTCTGTCCAGCATCGTCCCCCGCCATCTGATCCAACTCACTACCAGGTGGTGATCAGTTGACAGCTCAGCTCCTCTCTTCACTCGAGTGTCCAAAACAAATGACCACAAATTAGATGACACAACTATGAAGTCTATCATCGATCTACGACCTAGAGCGTCCTAGTGCGAAGTGCACTTATCAGAGTCAGAGTCAGAGTTTCTTAATTGTCATTCGCACCTCATGTGGTATATGTGGTGGAGCGAAATTATGTACATGGGGTCCCAGTTACATCCAACAATAAAATGTATAAGAAAAACAGTAATAACATCTAAGATATGAACTAAGAAAAACATCAACTAAATATACACTTAGCACTCCTCAACTGCTCCTCAACCTCCTTCCTGAGGGGAGTGGGGCAAAAAGTGTGTGCTGGGTGAGTGGGGTCCTTCATGATGCAGGTGGCCCTCTTCCTGCATCTGGAGGCGTAGATGTCTGTGATGGTGGGGAGGCTGATTCAGACAGACTTCTGTGCAGCCTTCACCACTCTCTGCAAAGCTTTTCTTTCTGCAGCTGTGCAACCTCCATGCCACACATTGATGCTGGAGCACAGGATGCTCTCCACTGCACACCTGGAGAAGGAGGTGAGGACTGAGCTTCCCAGACCAGCTCGCCTCAACCGTCTGAGGAAGTAGAGTCTCTGATGAGCTTTCTTGATCAGGCTGGTGGTGTTGTTGCTCCAGCTGAGGTTGTCATTCATGTGTACACCCAAGTACTTGTAGCTGGAGACCACTTCCACCGCGGATCCTCTTATGTTCAGGGGTGTGTGGATGTTTTTGTTCCTTCTGAAGTCCACAATCATCTCCTTTGTCTTCTTCACATTGATGTGAAGGTTATTCTCTTTGCACCAGCTCTCCAGGTGTTCCACCTCTTGCCTGTAGCTGGACTCATCATTGTTTGTGATGCATCCCACCACCGCTGTATCATCTGCAAACTTTACAATGTGACAGCCTGGATGGGTAGCTGCACAATCATACGTGAGCAGAGTAAACAGGAGGGGGCTCAACACACATCCCTGAGGAGAGCCAGTGCTGAGGGTTATGGTGGAGGAGGAGAGGTTGTGGATCCTCACTAACTGTGGTCTGTTTGTTAAAAAGTCTAGTACCCAGTTGCAAATGGAGGGGCTTAGTCCTAGTGTGGATAGTTTGTCCATCAGGGTTTGGGGGATCATGGTGTTGAAGGCGGATGTGAAGTCCACAAAGAGCATACGGACGTGAGTTTTTCTGCTCCAGGTGGTTGAGCGCAGTGTTGACCACAGAGGAAATTGCATCCTCTGTTGATCGGTTCTCACGGTATGCATACTGATGAGGGTCCTCGTTGATGTTGATGGTTGTTTTGATGCGAGTCATGACCAGTTTTTCAAAGCATTTAGCGACTATCGGGGTGAGGGCCACTGGCCGATAGTCATTCAGACTAGTCACTGTAGAGCTTTTTGGGACTGGGATGATGGTGGCAGTCTTCAGGCAGGTGGGAACTGTCTTCAGGGTAAGTGAGGTGTTAAAGATGTCTGCCAGCACCTCACAGAGCTGATCAGCACATTCCTTCAACACTTTTCCGGGGATGTTGTCTGGGCCAGTTGCTTTGTGCGGATTAATCCTCCTGAAGGTACTCCTTACTTCTGCTGAGGTCACGCTGAGATGCTCTTCATCCGGTGGCGAGGTGAGTCTGGTGCTGGGTGGTCTGTTCGGGTCTTCAAAGCGTGCATAGAACTTGTTGAGGGCATCAGGCAAAGATGGGTCTTTGGGGCATTGTTCACTCCTTCCTTCATAATCTGTTATGCACTTAATGCCCCTCCACATGCTCCGAGGGTCTTGTGAGATGAATTGACCCTCGATCCTCTTTGCATATGTGCCCTTGGCCCTCTTAAAATACTAGCAACCAGCTCTTTTCTTGTCCTACTCAGCTCCTCTGAGTTTCCAGACCTGAAGGCAGTGTTCCTGGCTTCCAGCAGGGTACGCACCTCTGCATTCAGCCAAGGTTTTCTGTTTGGGTAGCTTTTAACATTTCTGATAGTGGAGACGGTGTCAGTACATGTACTAATGTAACCCAGAACTGAGAATGTGTATTGGTCAAGATCAAGCGAACCTCCATTTTCAGCAGCTTCTCGGAAAACCTGCCAGTCTGTTCGATCAAAACAATCTCTCAGTATGGGGCCACTGTCCTGGATCCAGCATTTAACTTTCTTTTATCTTTTATGGACACCCTTATGTTCGAACATGGTGTTTGTGATGGACAAACTACGACTAGCACAGAAGTCCAACAACAGAACACTGCTCGGGTTCAGATCAGAGAGGCCGTTCCTCACAGTCACAATCCCAATGAGAGTCCCTGTATAAATAAAAGGATAAATGTTGTAGGCTTTTGTTTTTATTGACACAAGAGCACTGAAGGTTGTCTCAGACAGGTAAGTAGTGCTGAATGGAAGAATAACCCTCATCACTGTGTGGTTGGCCAGTCTGGATGCAAGGATTTGTCCTTTGGCAGTCCAAAACTTTTTGTATCCATTTTCTTGGAAATATTTTTTGGATACAGGATCAGCTTGGAGGTCACAAAGTTCATCTTCACAGCCAAGGAGACGCGCGCAGGCGATTAGCAAATAAATAAATCCATCCATCCATCATCCATCCTCACCCGCTTCTTCCTTTTTGGGTCGGGGGTCGCTGGTGCCCATGTCCAGCCATCACTGTGCGAGAGGCAGGGGACACCCTGGACAGGTTGCAAGTCCATTTCTAACTGATGGTTCAGCGGATGTGTGCAGCTGATGACAGGTTGTCCATCTGAGCTTAACGCAACTTTTTTTAATAAGCGGCCCGTCAGACCTGCCTCCTCCTCAAAAAGTAGATTAACACAATTTTATATTGTGCATTTTTATTTAGTTTTCTTTGTGCTATGATTCATAAAACTGCATCAAAGCCTCTTCTCACTCAGGCAGCGCCAGCTGAGAGCGGTACTGACATCCTAATAAAGTGTTCTCAAGACAAAGTGACGGTGCAGATTTGGGTTTTTAACAAAATACATTATCTTCAAACATAACCAACATCAGATTCAGAGTCAGAGATTCTTTATTGTCATTCACACCTCATGTGGTACATATGGTGGAGTGAAATTATGTACACAGGGTCCCAGTTACATCCAACAATAAAATGTAAAAGAAAAACAGTAATAAAATTTAAGATATGAACTAAGAAAAACATCAACTAAATATACACTAAGCACTAATAGCATAAAAACATTACGTCGAACATCAGCACAAACATGAACATGAGTCTGTGTGAGCAGATGAGCACGCATGAACACATCAACATGAAACAGATCAGCAGCAGCATGATGTGATTTTTCACAGTGATTATCCTGGTTAGAGATTCGAGTCTAACAGTCTCAGGGAAGAAGCTGTTCTTCAGTCTAGTGGTTCTACACTTAATGCTCCTCAACCTCCTTCCTGAGGGGAGTGGGGCAAAAAGTGTGTGTGCTGGGTGAGTGGGGTCCTTCATGATGCAGGTGGCCCTCTTCCTGCATCTGGAGGTGTAGATGTCTGTGATGGTGGGGAGACTGACTCCAACAGTCTTCTGTGCAGCCTTCACCACTCTCTGCAAGGCTTTTCTTTCTGCAGCTGTGCAGCTTCCACACGAGGGCTCTTCAGTGTTAATCAGGATTTGGTGAAATATCAAACATTAAAATTAAAAATAAAAGCATATTTTCTAAAGTTGTTACTAGGACAAATGGATATTTTTACAATCTCGACCTCTGAGCAGACAAATTATGTGACCCCCCCCCCCATGCTCTCTTGCGCAGTTAACTTTATCAGATTATTTAATAAAGTCATTAAAGTGAAAACAGGATTTCATGATAAAGCCCGTACCGTTTATGTATTTATTTCTTTTAATCTTCACTGATAAAAATATATATATATGTTTTATACATAAAATTTTTTAAAAATCGTTTCCATCCTCCATCCCGGTCTGCCGGGATCGGGATTCAGCCTTCGTGAACAGTCGTTTCTATCCTCCGTCCCGGTCTGCCGGGATCGGGATTCAGCCTTCATGAACAGGCGACACCGGGGTCCAGGCAACAGCCTTCTGCAAGTCAGCAGCTTGAAACTCCAGTGGAGGGGACCGGAGAGACCGGCAGAGCTCCATCTAGCTTGCTCTGAATTTTGTTGTCAGCCACAAAGTAAAAAAATAAACGCCTGCACTTCAGCATTAGAACACAGTGTTGACATTATTATTTAAAAATCTAAAAATAGATCCAGCCGTTACTCCAAGTTCCACGTAATTGCAAATGGCGGATTGGTGAAAAGTTTCTGAGAGATCCAGTGACTCTTCCCCCTGACCAATCAGTGACCGACAGTGTTCTGACAACACGTTTTTGTGAAGGCTCGGCTCCCTTGGACCCCTTGAGAGGAAGGGACAAAAAAAAAAAAAAAGGGACCGTTTCCGCAAAACAGCGCTAGTGGAAAAGCGCTCCAAACCACACTGAACCGAGCTGACCTGCTCTGAGCCGTCACTGTGGAAAAGGGGCAATAGAGACCAACGGAACAAACAAAGATTCTCTCGCTCAGTCACATCTAGGGACAATTTAGAGTTACCAATCAGTCTAACATGCATGTTTTTGGTCTGTGGGAGGAAACTGGAGTACCCGGAGAAAACCCACGCATGCACGAAAGGGAACATGCAAACTCCACCCAGAAAGGCCCTTAGGCCAGGATTCGATCCAGCAACCTTCTCACTGAGCAGCAGAAGCTTTGACTAATTATTTTAAAGGAAATCTCTAGCAATTTGTTTCCATGGTAACCTCAGCGCGAGTCTGTCAGTAGGTCTAACCTTCCTTCTGTGGCCGCCACTGGAACTCCAGCACCACGTCATCATGTCCAACGAAGGCGTGAACCGGACTGTTGAAGTCGAGGGTGCTCCACAGTAACAGGCTGTTCTCCCTCCTCAGCTGAGGAACCATGACGGTGACCAGACCGTTGGAGAATGGCTGAACACACACACACAAAGCACACACATAACAAGCAAAAATCTGAATTGTGAAAGAACTTAACTTTAAGGTTAATGAAAGAAACATCAAAGTCATGCTTAGATTCTTACATTCATAAGACTGTTGCCCTGCAGCAGGTGTGACAGAAAAATGTTTTGTGTGCTTTTAAAATGAAAGCAGACTCACCGTGTACCGGGCCTTCCACACTGGTACCTGACAGGACAGGATGTTTAGGTACTTCCTGGGCTGTCTGTAATCCCAGAACTATAAACACACAGATAAAATTTTACTGAGACAGTCTATATAGATTGTTCAGTCCTGTGCAGAACTCCTGATCCAGTGCTCTTTTCTTTAAATGTTCCTGTCAAGCAGAGGATCCTGTGAACTATAGAAGTGATCTTGAATAACAGTTATCCAGACTGGGAAGCAAAGTATATAGAAATTAGGGTTGGATGAAGAGTTTAGGACTGGACTAAAGATGTTCTCTGATCGAGCCGACCATTCATCACTTCGAGCTGAAACTGTTCTGTAAATCAAACTATCACACAGAATCATTCATATATTTGGCTTTCAAACCAATAGAGACAGAGCATGAACTTGTCAGGGACAGCTGACAAGAGCTAACTCTGCAAGCAGTTTTTGCACAGCATCAACAACCTGTTGGACAGCAGACAGAGTCCTCGTGTCCTCACCTTCACCGAGTTGTCCTGGCTGGAGGTGGCAAAGATGAACTCGTTGTCTGGATGCCAGTCGAGGCCATGGATCTTAGACAGATGAGCCGCCACGTACTCCACCGCCGTGCTGGGCTTCTGCTTAGAGCAAGCAAACACATTCAGACCATCCATATGGTGGTTGGACCAGTAATAACAACCAGAGTTAAGGGTGTCCCATACACAGGGTATCTGCAGCTTTCAGCAAGTCAAATTTAAGACTTTTTAGTACCGTATTAATGCCACTTTAAATAAAATTTAAGATTAAGAAAATCTTTAAATACAGGCGATGGTTGGGGGATCCTGCTGTATTATAATCAAGCATTGCACGTGTGTCACTCAGTGAGACGTTCAAGTTTAGTTTAGTCTGTTTATTGTACAGTTGATATTCAGTGCTCCCTGGTTCAACAACTGTATGCATGTTTTTTTGTTTTTTTTTAAACAGAATGCACCTGGCCTCTTCTGGGTTGGCAACAGACGTGAGTCTGTAGCAAAAATTGGGGAAGTTTGGGGAATTGGGGAAAATTTAGGAGTGGTGGCGCAGAGGTTAGAGAAGGTAGGTCTGTGATCAGATGATCGCCGATTCAAGCCCCAGTACCGACAACATCAAAAAAAATGTGGGTGGGGTAGGTGAAGCACCCACACCTGCCCCCACCCTCATTCGCCCCACCCTGGGCCCATGAGCAAGGCCCTTAACCCCCATCTGCTCTCCAAACAGGTCTCTCTTGAAAATGAGTTATCATGGCTCAATGAGACTACCTGTATAAATAAAGGATAAAAAAAAGAACATTGTCCAGCCGACTGTCGATACTTTTGTACCATCACAGGATATAGATGCAAAATAGCTTTCTAGCAGGCATATATATGCAGCTAGTAAAGAGCAGCCTGAATCGTCTCAATTCACTTTGTTGGAACCATAGACTGTATAAAAGAAAATGAACATTCAGAACGCAAGGAAGAAGTCTGCGCACGACTCGACGTAAAACCTTTGCCTGACAGAAAAGTCTCACAAGATAAAATAAAATCCATATGAGATTAAAGAATCCTGTCCCGACACATTTTAAGACCTTTGAGAAACATTTTTAGGACCATCTTATATATATATTTTTTTTTATAAATGAATTAAAGGTATTTTACAGCCTTAATTTTAGATATAAGAATTTAAGACTTTTCATGACTTTTTAAGAATGTGTAAAGCACACCTACAAGCACAACAAAAACAATTTTTCGCTGTATTTAATAACCAGTTTTATTTTAAACTGAGGCAGCACGGTGGCACAACTGGTAGAACTGCTGCCTCTCAGTGAGCAGGTCCCTGGTTCAAACCCCGATCCGGGGACCTTTATGGATGGAGTTTGCATGTGTTCTTCGTGCATGTGTGGGTTTTCTCCGGGTACTCCGGTTTCCTCCCACAGATCAAAAACATGCATGTTAGGCTGTTTGGTAACTCTAAATTGTCCCTAGGTGTGAGTGAGAGAGTGAATGTTTTTTTTGTCTCGTTTGTCTCTATGTGGCCCTGTGATGGACTTGCGACCTGCCCAGGGTGTACCCCGCCCCTTGCACAGTGATTGCTGGACATGGGCACTGGCAACCCCCGTGACCCAAAATGGAAGAAGCAGGTAAAAGATAATGGATGGATGGATGGATGTTTCTAATTTTAGCAATATTATGCAGGCGGAAGAAAGCAGTTCTAGCAACGTTTTCAATGTGGGGGATAAAAGACATGTCTTGATCAAAAATAGCACCAAGATTTTTAACATTAGAACTGAAGGCCAGATTAATGCTGTCCAAGGATAATGAAAAACTGAAAAAATTATTCCTAAGATGCTCAGGTCCAAAAACCAAAACCTCAGTCTTGTCTGTATTCAAAAGGAGAAAATTAAGGGTCATCGAGGATTTTATGTATTTAAGACATGCTTGTAACTTAAGTCACAGATTGGATTAATCGGATTTCATGGACAAATATAATTGTGTATCATCACCATAACAATCAAAATTTATCCCATGTTGTTTAATAACATTACCTAATGGAAGCATATATAAAGAGTATTGGTCCAAGCACTGAGCCTTGAGAAACTCCATGACTAACTTTGATATATGAAGAAGATTCATTATTTACATTTACAAACTGGAATCTATCAGCTAAATATGATTTAAACCATTTTAAAGCTGTTCCTTTAATCCAAATATCATATTCAAGCCGCTGTAGTAGAATATTGTGATCATCTGTGTCAAATGCAACACTGAGGTCTAACAGGACCAGTGTAGACACAAGTCCATTGTCTGAGGCCATGAGAATATCATTAATGACTTTTACTAGTGCTCTAAAAAAATTAAATCTGGTTCTCTGGACATTCAAAAAAACTAAACACAAAAAAAATTGTAGAAACATTTCGTCTTTCATCCGAAAGACTTCTGCGGTTTGACTCCCATCACTCTTTGGAGCACAAGTTAGGAGTCATCAGGACTCTACCACAGAGAAGACAGCGTCCCCACTAACTCAGGAGCCAGGCAGAAGGAGAAATCCCACACAAGACAGGCTCTAGAGCAATGTGGATATCCTAACTGGGCCTTCCTGAAAGCAGAGAAGAAACCCAAACAGGACTCCAGCCAACCATCAGGTGAAAAGGAGGAGCCCCGACCATTGGTCATTCCATATGTTGTGGGAGTATCAGAGAAACTGAGATGTTTATTTTCTAAACATAATGTCCCAGTGGCTGTTAAACCCCAAAATACATTACAGCAAAGACTGGTTCATCCCAAAGATCCAGTTTCCCGGCACAAACAGAGTAATATTGTGTATGCTGTTCAATGTCAGGAGGGTTGTGATCAGTCTTACATCGGGGAAACTAAACAGCCACTGGCCAAAAGGATGGCCCAGCACAGAAGATCAACATCATCATGCCAGGACTCTGCAGTCTACACTCATCTCCAGTGTTAAAATATTTTTAATCTAGACTGATCTAATGATTTTGATCTGCTCAGATATGGGATTATAATGAAATTATGACCAGGTTCTGATGGGGTAAACTGGGCCAGCAGCTCTCAAGAGAGTCTCCCTGGGATTTCAATATCAGTCAAATAGTTTTAATCTGCTTGCCACATCACGTAGAAAGGCTTTGAAGCACTGTCTCATGTTTTTCCTAACACGTCAGTACACATAAGACCACACTTAGTCACGCCCCCTCATACACTGATAGGCTGAGCTCCCCTTCTGCAAAAGGAGGAGTCATAGGACCCCATAAATTAGTGATGACACAGGACTTCGGGGCTCTTCCGGGTTGGTGTACGCGACACGGTCCGGAGAGTCCAGCGCTGTAAAACTGTAATCTTCTCCTGCCTTTTTAATATAATTGATAAAACTTAATGGATGTCTCATTGATTTATTTGTTAGCATGAGTTACCACTTCTGAGGGAGGTTCGAGCCGGGGGTAGTGGGCTGGAGGGGGTTTCCGGACCCAATTGTATCCTGAATTAATCAATTGAAAGAACACTCTTCTTTTTATATTATCATTACTATTTTACAATATCTTGATAACCAAAAGTGTGTTTAGTTCATATCATTTCTAATGTTGAAAGTAAACCACTCATTTAAATCAACTGTGAAACAGTATTAATGATTTTTTTAAATCTCATTAGACTTAGAAATCAAGTTAAATGTCTATTTACAAAGTAATTATGCATTTTGATCTTCTGTCTGAATGAGAAGTCAGTGATGTCGGTCAAAAGTCAGAGACAGTCAGAGAACGAGTTATTAGAACGAACTGTATTGTTTTTAAACCTAGCAGACGGTAAATAACTGCCAATGGCATATGCGTTCCTCTCACTTCTTCAAAACATTTCTCTGTCTGTACTAAACGTTCCTAAACATTCTTGCACCCTCTCTTGACTTTTAATAACCCTCTGACATCACTAGAACCACCCCCTGTTGGTTGTTTCAACCAATCAGGAAGTACTAAGTGACCAGAAGTGAGAACTCTTTAAAAGTCAGCACTTCCTGGAACTGGTCAGTCTTGGGAGTCTTCAGTCTTGGACCAGTCTTGGAAGAAGCGGAGTCTTCTCGACTCTTCAGTCTTTGATCTGAGTCGAACTGAGTCAGCCATTGAGTTTGTTGATTCCTATAAATATTTGGGTATCTTGGTCGACTCACATCTTTCTTTTAAGCTCCATGTGGAAAACTTGGTAAAGAAACTGAAAATTAAACTGGGTTTCTTTTTCAGAAACAGATCCTGTCTAACCCTGAATGCTAGAAAACGCCTTGTATCTGTGACTTTCCTTCCCTCAATTGATTTTGGTGATATTATTTACATGAACGCTCCTACAAGAACCCTGCAGATGTTGGATGCTGTCTATCATGGTGCACTAAGATTCATAACTGGCTGTGATTATCGTACCCACCACTGCACCCTGTATTCATTGGTTAACTGGACATCATTAACTTCACGCAGACTCTCTCACTGGTACATTTTCATCTTTAAATCACTTCTTGGTCTGCTGCCTTCATACATCTCCTCCTACATGTCTCTGCGTGAGTGCAGCTACGGAGTGCGCTCTCAGGACATTATTACCTGCAGTGTTCCCTCAGTGAGGACTGAACTAGGCAAAAGGGCCTTCTCCTACTCCGCTCCTGTTTCCTGGAATATCTTACAAAAAGATTTGAAGCTCTCGACCTTGACCTCTCTAAGTGGCTTTAAGAATCTGTTGGACTCCTGGCAGGGACCAATGCAGACATGTTCCTGTTTTTAGTTTTATACATTTGTCTCGGAATCTAGCAGTTTTTTTGGTTTTGTTACCTTTTTCCTTTTAGCCATCCTATTTGTTAAAAAAAAAAAAAAAAAAAAAAAACTGTAGTATGAGTTTTTATAACTGCTTATTGTTGTTGCTGTTGTCCATTGTTGTCATCTTTCTTTGTTGAAATCAGGTCTCTCTTGTAAATGAGTCCTCGAGGCTCAATGGGATTTACCTGTATAAATAAAGGTTGATTGATTGATGGAGTCTTCTCAAGCCTTCTGGAGTCTTCCACTTCTGAGTGGGATCTATGACGGAGTCACAGATCCTTGCTGTGAACTCACCCGGGCGTAACGCCTACAACCTCAAAG